TTGGTGTGTGTGTTGGTGTGTGTGTGTACGTGTTGGTGTGTGTGTGTTGGTGTGTGCGTGTATGTGTTGGTGTGTGTGTGTTGGTGTGTGCGTGTATGTGTTGGTGTGTGTGTGCGTGTTAGTGTTAGTGTGCGTGTGTTAGTGTGTGTATGGGTGTGTTAGCGTTAGTGTGCGTGTGTTAGTGTGTGTGTGTTAGTGTTAGTGTGTGTGTGTTAGTGTGTGTGTTAGTGTGTGTGTGTTAGTGTGTATGCGTGTGTGTGTGTTAGTGTGTGTGTGTGTGTGTGCGTGCGTGCGTGTGTTAGTGTGTGCGTGTGTGCAGTGGGAGGACTCCACAGCTCGAGTATAAACTGGGCTTCACTTCCTCTCAGCAGGAAGCACTGAGTCTTCTCTCTGTCGGTCTCGTGAGTTTTCGGAGATTGTTTTGTTTTGGGGGGCGACCAAACTGCACAGATGGCGACTAAGGTAAGATGACTGATCGATCACATATCGAGGAGAGGAGGAGGAGGAGAGGAGGAGGAGGAGAGGAGGAGGAGGATAAAAAGCTCTTTAAACACACAGTTAATCACATGTTTGTGTTTCTATTAAACTGTCCATGTCTTACACGCGACCTGCTAATAAAGTTCATTTAAATCGACCGTCTCAGTAGAAAACAGCATGGTGCGTTCAAGTACACCGAGAAAGTGCTGTGACACACAATGACTCACTCTGGTCAGCTTTAGTGAAACATTTCATTTCAAAAACAAATATCTAAATGCAAAAGTACTCAGATGGTTTACTGCAGTAAACGTAATACTATAAGTGTGTACAAATACTCAGTTACAGGTAAAAGTCCTGCATTCTATAATATCATTTATTAATAATGAATTCATAATCTGAATCTGTAAAGAACTAGAGCGGTCAGATACATGTGGTGCAGTAGAAGTACAATATCTACCTTGAGATGTAGTAGTAGAAGTATAATTTCTCAAGTACCTCAAAGTTGTACTAAAGTACAGTACTTGAGTAAATGTATTTCCTCTCTGCATTAAATCAGATTTGATATGTTGAGTCACTTCAACAAGCTTATATATGTTTTGTTTAAATGTATAAAGTGTAGAGATTCTGCATTAAACGTGTTGAGTAACATGTCCCGGTTCAGTTCACACCTTCAGCAAACAGACAGCTCACAACAGCAGTTCCAAAGGAAGGGCTGCTTTTATTCTGAAAGGTGAACAACATGACTTCATTCAAATAAAATACTTGTTTTAATGTAAACTTATATTTACTTAAATGCACTTTTTTATTTTTATTTTTAGCTCGTTTGACCCTCGGCCACGCCCACAACGATGATGTCACACTGATGAAACTGACAGCGAGAGTTAATACAGACCATAATGTGGTGTTTATGTTTGATTTAAGTTTTCTATTGAAAATGATGCTCAGGTCTAAATAAACACAGATATTATGAATCTGATCTGTGTTTGCATGTTAAACTGATTTCATAATCTTTTATTAGTTTATGATATTAGTGACTTCAGAAACATGGACCGTGAGTCTTTTATTACAGTTTAAATTAATGTAAACTCTTTATATCAACATAAAGAGGAAATGTGCGTGTGATATTTTATGAAGTGTAATTTTTGTGCTTTTTTCCTACGAACAGGTTTCATTTTCTGTTTGTTACATGAAAACAGTCTTTTGAAAATTAACTTAAATAAACTTCACAGGAAAATACTTAGTTCGCTTTATAAAAGATCGTAAAATACTTAGTTTGGTTAAGAACGCACCTTTACCACAGATTAAACATCTCATACTTTAATATAAAACGTGCGTGAAGCTTTGAGAACCATAAATGTTTGTAAAGGAACACTTTGACTCGGTTGCTGCTGGAAACAGAAGACCGGTGGTTCGATAGCCGGATGGAGATGCTGGTCTGGGATCAGCAGATCTTCTGTTGGATAGAGGCCGAGCCGCTCTGCAGCCGCCGCCCTGTTTCACAACAGAGTCCTCCGAGGTCTGATCTCATTCAAACAGCCTGAGGCAGAACAAACAGCTGCTGAGGGGCCCCTCAACACTCCAGGGGCCCCTCAGCATTCCTCTCTTATCGTCTCAGTGGTTTTAAGAGAAACTCCCTGGTTTTTCTTTCGTCAAACTTCTCTCAAGTTTCATCTGTTGTGTTCTGGGAGGACGTTTAGGAGACACTTCATCAGAGAGTCCGGGCCAGAAAATGAGAGGATTTAAGGGCCCCGTTGCACATTTTGAGGGATTTGATGCCAAATTTCTGGATAATGAAACATTAGTTCTAACAAAGTTTGGGATTTTGGTGCTTTATAACCAAAGCCAAGAGTGTAGATTAAAGATAAATACATTAAAGATATCATGATTTTTTTTTTAAGCAAACTTTTGAAATGTTGCATGAAAATAATTGAGAATTAGATGTTTTCCATCAGCTGGTTTGAAGGCAAATGAACCACAGACTGTAAGAAGTGACGTAGTCGTCGTGACGTCACTCATTTATTCGTGGACTGATGTTTTGAAGCCTCGAGTTTGGTGTTTTGGCCGTCGCCATCTTGTTTTTTTTGCAACTAGTGAACAGGAAGTGACGGAGGAGCGACTCAATGCTTCATGTGTGAAAGCAGGAAAGATGCTGAGTCGACACAATGAGTCACTCAGGGTTTCAAAAGAGAGTCCGTAATAACAATAATCATCATCATGAATGAACAAGTTATCACAAAGCACATTTACATTTATAAGTGCTGCTGCTTAAGTGCAAATTTCAGGTACTTGTACTTTACTTGAGTATTTGTATTTTGATAATAATAATAATAATAACACATTTTATTTATAGAGCGCTTTTCAGAGTACTCAAAGACACTTTACATTAAAATCATCAAATATAAAAGCAACACACTAAAAACATAAAATACACAATATCGGTCACACATTGAAAGCAGTTTTGAACAGGTGGGTTTTGATTTGGGATTTGAACATGGAGAGGGCAGAGCAGTCTCGGATGTGTTTGGGGAGAGAGTTCCAGAGGGAGGAGCTCTCCTCTGGAACTCTCCTCTGGAACTCTCCTCTGGAGCTCTCCTCTGGAGCTCTCCTCTGGAACTCTCCTCTGGAGCTCTCCTCTGGAGCTCTCCTCTGGAACTCTCCTCTGGAGCTCTCCTCTGGAACTCTCCTCTGGAACTCTCCTCTGGAGCTCTCCTCTGGAACTCTCCTCTGGAGCTCTCCTCTGGAGCTCTCCTCTGGAACTCTCCTCTGGAGCTCTCCATGTCCTTGGTCCTGAGTGGAAGAGACAGGAGGCATCAGAGGGGCGGAGCCGACGGGATGGAGTGTGGTGGTGGAGCAGGTCTCCTACTTAATACTTAATTAGTAAAAGTAAATCTTGTACTTTTTACTTCACTATACTTTATAGCTTTAGTTACTTTAGATTATTAAAATAGAATATGATAAAAAGTGATGAACACATAATGCATCAATGATTATAATACAAAGAATATAAATGATTCTGTGTAATGAGTACTATATACTGTTGATATTGTACTTTTTGAATGCAGGACTTTCTACACTGTGGTATTAGTACTTTTACTGAAGATCTGATCCTGAAAACGTCTCAGTATTTGCAGTAAAACTACAGTTGGCTCCCTGAGAGT